GCGACAGATGCAAGCAGGGGAAGTAGAGAGTGATGGAAGAAAAAGTCACACCCTGTGTTTCAAAGTTCCCCAAACTGTGTAACACAACATTAAAAAACGTAAGCTGATCTTGCCAGGAACAATAATGCATGGTGCAATATCAGCAGCCAGATTGGGCTACTGTTTAGATTATGAATTTAGCTAAATCCAATGTTAAAGTTACCTTAACATTTTTAATGACCTATATACCTGCGCTTTGCTCTGCCTCTGGTCACTGCAAGTTCAGTGACCTATATCACAGTGACCATAGAGCAAATTTCCTATCATCTGAAGGCAGCTTAAAAGAGCCAAAGAGTGGGGGGACAATCTCGCATATAGTATCTGTAATGTCACCCACAGGTCTCTCAACCTTTTGGGTCGTGAATAGGATTGGGTCCTGAACTAGATACTTTTAAGGGTACTGACCGAATGAACACACAAATATACACAAAATATATCTAAAAGCTGAGTGTAACGTTACCGTGTTTGATAGCCCACAGCTAATGTGAAACTTTAAGTCCTCTTCATCATCGACATCTTCAGGTAATGAATTATGATGGATAAGTTGTTGCTGGGTTTACAGGGTTTTCTCACTGTCTTGGTTGGCGTCTCTGTCGCTCTGAAACTTTATCATAATTACCGAGAGGTTATTATTAGGTTAATAAGCCTGTGAAAAATCCTGAATGTAATTGGGAAGATACCCTGGTTAGGTTTGCTCTCCTGATTGGATTCTCCTGGAGGTTGGCAAGTGTGCTGATCAACATGATTATTGATTTTTATGTAGCATTATGTGAGATTTTTTGTCAGAAACCTTATTATGAAACCTATAGTATCTGTATTGCATACTGTTTGCAGAAGAATACTACAGGATACAAGCACTGCGGTTGTAAGTTTACACATATGTTTTCCAACTGAAATGACATTTTTGTTATTACAGAGTGAGCATAAAGTACAGAGAAAAAGGTACCATTGGGTACCAGCACCGGCACAACCCCAGTTGTCAGCCCTTAAAATGAAGCCATGTCTACCTGTGACTCCCTCATCATCACTCGTGAGCAATTCAGTTACAAAGTGATTTGTTCCTCCTCCTCCTATTTGTCTTTTTGAAGGATTTTTAGAGGTCCAAAGAGAGGAAACTATCCACTATTTCAACAGAATTAAAGCAAACATGAGAGAAAACTAAAACAAAATGAACAATTTGTGGAACAGGCTGTTCTTTCTGATCCTTAAGACTTTTTTATTATAATTTTGTCATTAACATTTAACTTAAATTTTTAAGAGCACATCTCTGGTGTTTCTTAAAGAATACTTCATGGGACCCTCAGCATTATCATTTATCTCCAGTCACTGCCTGCTTGTATTTATCCACAGACCTCAAGTAACACGTCTTTAGTGGTGTTGCTTTCATCAGCCACAATATGAACCATACGCAGCATCACACGAGGAAATGAAGCAGCTGGGATATATTGGCGGTGGTTGTTGTTGGTTGTAAAACCTGATTGATAAAACCAGAGCGACTGGTTTCTGAACGTGCTGGTGTTGTGACTGCAGAGTGTGTGCCAGTGGGTTTGTGGCAAACAGTTGCTGCTTTACAGGTTTCAGTGGGAGGGTGCGTGACGATGAACCCACAGTCTCATAGTGAATCACTGCTGTGAGACAACAGTCATACCATCAGATACTTTCATCTGCAGCTCTTAATACCAACAGATATGGTTTCTCAATGTAGATTAATGTTTAAATTGTTCCCCTGTCGATTGATTTCGAAGCATTATGTTTGAATATATATATATATGTGTGTGTGTGTGTGTGTGTATTGAGTTACAACAATTAGTCAATTTAGTAATCAATTCAAAGAAAAATAAACCACTTGTTGCAGCCTCTTTACTGTGAATATTTGTTGTAAATTGAATATTCGGACAAAACAAGACAGCTGAAGGTCTCACCTCAGACTTTTTCAATGCTTTCTAATCTATTAGAGACCAAATGATTAAGCAGTTACTCAAAATAATCAACAAATTCATCAATAATGACAATTAGCTGCATACCTAATGGTTTGTATTACTGTAAAAGCCTTAATATAGTCTCACTTCACACCTTTAATTACTTTGGTAGCTGTGGTACAATGTGTCTGTGCTGCTGCCACCAATATGAATATCTGACATCCTGCTGAAATGTACACGCAGTCATTTAACAGGGAACAGAGAGCAGAAGTTGGGTGGTGCAACAAACGCAGTATTGAGGGTTAATTTCACATTTGTCTCAAGAAGATGACCTGGCAAACCTCTTTAAACTCTACTATCTGCTGGAAATAATGTGGAAATAATGTAAATATAGAGTGTAAATAAGCTTCTGGTTGGCAAGCTGTCTCAGAATTTCAGGAACCTATCCACAGGAGGATGTGAGAGACAGCAGACGTTATTGCCCCCTTCCTGACGAAATGAAGAAACAGATAATATTTGTGTGGTTGTATATCTGCAAACTATAAGTTTTCAGGATAACTTGTACAGTCGCACAGCTTTACAGTTTAGGACTGCAACTAATGGTTATTTACATTACTGATGAATCATTTTCTCAATTTGTTGTTTGGTCCCTAAAATATCCCAAAGATATTCAGTCCACTGTCAAAGAGGACTAAAGAAACCAGAAAACATTGACATTTGAGAAGCTGAAATCAGAGAATTTGAACATTTTCTCTCAGAATAACTCAAAATGATTAATCCATTATCAATATAGTTACTGATTAGTTTAATAGTTGATAACCTATTAATTAGTCACTAATTGTTGCGGCTCTGTTACAGTTTTCTTTACCTATCCTGTTCTGGTATAATGAGGCAGGTTTGCCTTCATTGGACTGCAGTTGAGACAGACAGGAAGTGAAGGGGGTATGACAGGCAACAAAGATCCTTGGCCAGAACTGAACCTGATACGTTGCAGTTAAATGGTTTGCCTCTTAACCTCTGGTCATAAGGACGTCCCTAATTACTGACTGTTAACAGAGATAACTGTGTTTCCAATATGATGTTGAAAGCAGGCCATCTATTGTGGTGGATGTTGGCTGTGTGTTTAATCTATGTTCCCAGCTTTCTAACAGTGTAACTGGTATCCTTAAAGGACCCTGAATGCAGCAGCCTCAGTTCTGAACTGAACTCAGAGGAGGTTTGTTATATATCTCTATTGCCTCCAGTGTTATCCCTCTAGTCATCCAGCAGTGGTTCAAGAACACTGTCACCACTGCTGCAGAGGACTGAACAAATATCTTTTCAAAAGCAAACATCTGCAGTCTGAATGTCTAAAGGTGTTTTATTTTGACACAGCCCAAATAACATAATGAGTGCTTTTATTTCTGTAACCAGAGCAACATATTGATAATGAATGCAGATGTGGCGCCTGAGGTGCGGGTGAAATGCCGACTAATGTTGACTGTCATGTTTTTATATATGGTTTATTTAGAGTTACACTGGGATTCAGAAGTAGCCAAAAGTATGTGGACGTCCCTGCCTTTTATTAGTTTCAAGGGGCATCTTGATGCTACAGCATACAAGAGCTACGACAATGACTGTATCAATTGATCAGCCAGTTGACAGAAAATGAATGAATAACTACTTTGTTAACTGATGAATTGTTTTAGATAATTCCAGATGTTCAGTGATTCCAGCTTGTGATTTTCTTTGTAATATATGACAGTAAAGTGCTTCAGACGTGCTCCGTGTGAACATGACCTCAGCTCAACCCCACAAATAAAACATTACATCACAGAGGAGTCGCCGGGCGTCATGTGACGATAACATCTGTGTGAAGCTCATCGGCGCGTGACGGCTGTCTAATAGGCAGCGGTACAGTGTGTGTCCTCAGCAGCCCCCCGCCACATTTCATCTCTGTCGACTAACTGGGCTAATTTCACGGTCTGCTGAGCAGACAGAGGGGGGCTGGCAGACTTACTGTTGTCACCGGAGACTTTAAAGTCAGTTTTATTTTTTTTAAAACTGTGTACGTCTGTTTGGAGGAGGATGAAGTGGTGGTGGGTGTTTGCCCGGCTTTCCCTCTCCCATCGTGACTGGAGTGGTCGGACTCCTACAATTAAGCAATGAATCACGCAGTGATGGCAGCACTAGTCACTGCTGCTTGGCTGGAGGACAGAAATCTGTTGCCCTTTGTGGAGGACAACTGCAACTTTCAGGAACAGTGTACAGTATTAAACTTGTGTGGTGGAGTGGTAATACGTTCTGTCTGTTAGATCTCTCTTGCCAAGCACTCATCGCTGTGGTATTTGGCTTGTCAGTCTGAACAGTGTGGGTGGTACGGTGAAGTGTTTCCATTGCAGTTTGACTCGCTGTAGGTAGCTTTCTTTTTCTTTTTTGGTTGCTCAGAAAACCAAATTTAGAGCATTTAGTTAGTGAAAGGAATTGTTCGAATATAAATATGAAATATGCTTGTTTACTTCCTTGCGGAGGGATTAGAAGTGTGATCACCTCATGTCTCTATGGAAAACATGAACAATGGACTGGAAATGGGGGAAACAACCAGCCTGGCTCTGACCTCTACAGCTCACAGATTTTAAGTACTACATCTTGTTTTGATTGAATTTGTACAAAAACTGTAAACAGTGTTTTCCGATAGCCTTGCACCTAAGTGATGTGCATATGATTAATCTCCTTCTACAAAAACTGTAAAAACATAAATTGTATTTGGAAACTGCTCCTCTTCCTCTTGTAAACCGACATATTGTCATTTTTGTACTGATCAAACAAACTAGATCTAACGTATTTCAACTTGGAGGTGCTGGTTGGTGGATTGTACACAGAACCAGGCAAGAAGCGTCTTTCCCAGAATGTTTAAATCTGCTGAAGGGATTATAGATAGTATTCTTTTGTCTGCAAGAATACTATTTTTGGATCTTGCCAAGCCCCAACATTTTGATTGTAACGACGTCAGTGAGATTTCAGAATGAATCTTCCTAACGCTCGCTGCTTCCTCTGTTACAGGCTCCAATGAGAGGCTCTCCATGATGAGGAGTTAACACTGTCGGCCGCACAACCGCAGGAACAGACGTGGCCGCTGCACCATCCACAGTCGACGCATGGCGGTATTAGGGGTAAGAGCCACACCTTGTGCTGTACTCTGACTCCTCATCAGGACTGAAACCCCCTGAGAACTCCTGTGGTTTGTTTCTCACTGGCTGTTAGAAGAAGTCATTTCCTGTTTATGTGCCTCCCAAATGTTGATGCTGCAGCATACCAACGTGTTACTTATTACAAGTATTGGGCTGAGTAGGCCTTATTAGTGAGAAACAAACTTTTAACGTTTGTTAAATACTGGTATTGAATGATTCCAGTGTTGTTTTTAACTTTTAACTAGCAATTATGTTCATTATTATTAATCTGCTGATTATTTTATCAAATAACTGTTTATTGTTTATTACATTGAGTCAGAAACAGTAAAAAATATTCAGAAAATAGTGAATAGCACTTAGATATTCATTTTACTGTCATAAGAGACTAAAGAGAAGTAGCAAAACTTCGGTTTCAATTGTGAAGGTAGAACTTTGGAATATTTGACATTTCTGCCAAAAAAACTTAAACAAATAATTGATTATCCAAAGAGATCATTTTTTCAACTAATAGATAATTTGACTAGTCTCATCAGCTTTAACTCTGACATATTGAGTCCATGAAGTCCTCTTGAAAAGTCACCAGATGATCAAACTGCACCATCATCAATGGAAAAGTTCCTTTCAGTTGTTAAAAAGCTGAGAGTTGGCGAGACAACGATTCTATAACACCTCTGTTTGTCTAGTGTCTTTTATCTTACTCGTGTCCATCTCAGCGTCCAGACGCTTTCACTGTTCTAACAGTCAGCGAGAATTTCAGAACAGGTTGGAGCCTCTAAATGATGGATGTGAGCTGTCTCAGTGTCTAACTCTCCAGGCACAAGCAGCCATTATCTGAGTGCTAGCTGGGTGTAATTAGTGTGCACAGGCACTACTGTTATTCCTCATATTTCACGTCTGATGATTCGGCTGCAGCTGTCTGCTGTTGTAGTCAGTTACCGTGTTTCTACTCTGCAAATAACCTGGATCAGAAATATAGTAGCAGTTGTACATTAATTGCATTTTATCCTAGTTTTAAGAGGATAGTTGTTGTTTTTTTAAGTGGGGTTGTGTGAGGTACTTACATTTAGTATTTTACTTATAGCAGCGGCTGCAACCCCTAAAAAAAAAAAAATCAAAATCAATATCAGTTTAAGTGCTCACTATATTTAGAATATTTTCACCGCTTTATATTGCCGTCACACAGCCCTTTCCTATGGGAAACTGAAGCAGTTATCTTCATCTACGCTCTTTTCAAAGTCACCAGACTCCTTTGACAAAAGCAGTAATTTTACCTCACAGAACTTGAGAGTTGCTGGCCCACCGCTGCCTCAATAGGTTCCTTTGTTTGTGCTATTGTGTGACTTTGGTGTTTTTAAAGAGTTAGTTTGAATCCGAAGTGTCACAATAAAACAAATAAACTAACTGATCAAGGCAGCGGTGAACCAGCAACCTCCGTGTTATTTGTGGTAAACTTGTTGTGATATTGTTGCTAAGGTCAGAAGTAAGAGGAACATCACTAACAAAGCTGCTCTTAAATCCCAGGAGAAACAAACTGTTGGTAGTAGAGTTGATTTGACGGATGGGGGAGACAGAAGCAGAAGGTAGGGTTGACAAAAACATCCAGTGAGATTAATGTATGGGTTGACACACTGATGTCTTTAATGCAAAAATGACTCGGGGTGAGCCCAGTGGAGAGTAAGACCACGCGGAGCCAGACAGCCGAGCCGTCTCCTCAGGGCGTCTCTCTGTACTGGAGCCGATACCGGAGGGCCGTCTCGTTTCATCAAAAGAAAACTTCTTTTAAAACTCAGCTCAGACATTCTCTTTGAGTTTGTTATTTTAAAAGTTATCCCTGCAAGTGATGATTTTCTATTCACTGTATGATCCATCTAAAAGAAAAGTATAAAATATATATATTTATATTTAAAATATATTTCATTAAAAAAAGATTTAAATTATTTGATATTTAATCCACAAAGGATGATTTTTACAGAGAGACGCAAGCAGTGGTTGTGCTTATTTATTTATTTTTTTACCTTTTTTATTGAACTTCAGGTATATTCAGTGAAAAACTTAGGTGAAAGTTAGCTGACGGCTAATTGGTGGAAAAGTGTGTGTTGTCTTTGGAGTTGTATCCATATCTTTAATAGAAGCCACAATGTTTTCATTACAAATGTATGTTGTCAGCTTTGAATCAAAATATAAATTCAGATTTTTCTCTCCAAGAACACTCACCGGAGGGCTTTTTTTAAACCCCGAGTAGAGTTTTAGTATCATGCTGTGTCATCAGATGGGGTGTGGTCTGTAAGTAGCATGGGAGGCGTAACCCAGGGCGAAAGCGCATACTTTTGGTCTTGGAGCTGGGAACACACGGCAACAATATGGGTTTTTGATAAGTGTGTGGGGCGTTATCCCACCCACTCCCAGTTAAAATAACACCCTGGGGTTTTCAGTGCCATTTTAGTCATTTCTCTTGTTAATTTCATTTTTTAAAATTTGCAGTCACGTTTGTTGGCGAATGTCTGGATTCATATGTATGAGTTAGTCTAATTGAAGTCACTTATATAAGCATGACAGAGAACTTTGGTAACATTTTGGCATTTTTTTATTTGCTATAATAAATCCGGGAGTATATCATTCACAAAACAAATCACATTGGTGGCGAGTGAAATAAAGACACACAGAAACCATATGTGCACCAGCTGAGAATCCCTGGTTGCTCAGCTCTGTCAGAACAGAGAGGACTCCTACTGCCTTGCTGATGATGTTACTCACAGAGTGAAACCACAGTTAGTCATTCAGTTACTTGCTTCTGTATAGCAAATCACTGCTTTCAACATCATTGTCATGTACATCTTCTTTTTATAGTGTGAATCACCAGCTGTGAGCTCCCTGTCGCTGCCTGTTAGTCCTGCTTGTCCGATTGGGATCTTGCTGGTACATGTTGAACTGAAGGCTCCGTGTAGTGACGCTGATCCTGGTTCACTGTCTTCACTGTGGTTTGAAATAAGCAATAAGATAAGATGTCTGAGTGTTAAAGTGAACCTATACCTGACAGTGTCTCTCTGACTGCGGCGAGAGTACAGAAGTGTTAGAAAAGCAAGATCAAACAGGCCACTAGTGCAGCAAGACTCTTAAAAGTTCTCTTCAAAAAGACACATGGAGTAGATGAAAACACAGGAGATACAGTAGCTGTGGCTGGTGGGAAAGCAGGAGTGATAGCTAACTGGCTCCTTGGGTACAATACGACGTGGCATAGAGAACATTAAAGGCTGCAGTGATATCCAGCAAAGTGTTCTTTGTTGTGATTATGGGTATATTACTAGCTGTGTTGTACTGCAATGGCACCTCATGAAACTGGCTCATCTTCCCGTACTCAGAGGCATTATTCTAGGTGTTTGGAGGAATTCTATTAGTGCTGCTGTGTGTTCGATTAACCTCCCATATAATTGAGGATTTTTCTTGCCTTTGTCTTTGTCCTTGTGTGTACGTGGATTCCCTGTTTTACCAAAATGTGATACAATGATCACAAAAAGATGGCATTTGCTCTCTTTGCCACTCTGTGTTTTCAGGGAGGCTTACAACTTCCTTTATTTGAGCATCTGTGCTGTTATGCAACTTAGCTATTGAGCAATAATTGTATAGCAGCACACAATGTGTGAACAGGAAGTGGCACTGTTGCCCACAGATTAGTGGTCGCAGAGATTGAACCTAAACCTCTTGGTGAAGGGATATCTGCAGGGCTGTCTGCTGCACTGTTAGAGTGAAACAGACTGAACCTGAGAGCATCCCTTCTAAAGTACGGTCAGAAAAGACATAAGTTTCTCATTTACTTTAGTTTATTGACCTTTCATCATATCACAAGTCCATAAAGACATAAAAACACAGAATTATTTTGCTATTACAATAAAGCATCAATACTGAATAGACCACATCATTTAAAACAAAGTTAAAATTACCAATTATCTAAGCTGAAAACCAATATCTCATATCACAAATTTCAAATCCTATTTATTGACTAACAACAAATGAACAAAGAAAAAGTTGCAGTTTCACTGTAAAAAAAAAAAGTTCAAATACTCACAATAATACAAATATTTTTCCCCCTTTCCACACAAAATACAATCAGGGCTTACAGACATGCAAATGTGGAGAGATGGTGGAGAGATTAGCTGCCACGCGCTCCCCAAGCAGTTAGGGGTTCGGTGCCTTGCTCAAGGGCACATCTGCAGTGCACAGGAGTTGGAACTGACGCCTGCCAAGTCCCCACAGACTGAGCTACGGCCGCCCCCAAATATGGAAAATATATAATATACCAACAAAACTGATGCTAATCTTTCACAGAGAGAGTGCTCATAATGATTCCGCATGACCTAAAATCATAACAAATAACGCCCTGCAGTGTTGCTTTAGGCAACATAGTCACCTCTTCTGACCCTAACCCTGCTGGATGTTGTTAAGTCAGTTAGTGTGAGTTTAAAGCCCCCCCTCCTTTCTCTTCTAGTTCCTACAGTGTGCTGTCTGAATGATGTCTGTGCAGAGTTTGACTCTAGAAGGATGTTTTCACATTCATCTGCTGAAAGTGGAAAGTTTCTCTGTGCTCATTGAAAACCTGATTTTAAGGGGCGGGGCCTACCAGCATGATTTGTGACATCACATAGTTATAGTGATAGTTATGAAGTCAGTCCTGGTCCAGTATGCAACTTGTACAGTGTGATGTAGAAACTTGAAGCCACCAGTGGACAACCACTGAGAATGGACTTTACAGTGAAGGAGGAGACATCTTGTGTCCAGCAGGAAAACTTTAGAAATTAACAACATTTATATATTCAGAGATTCTGGAGGTTTTAATGAGGTAGAAGGAGGAGATGACTGTTTAAGGATTTTAATGTGGAAATTTAAAAACATTATCATTCCAAGCTTTTTGTATATGTCTTAATAAATGTATGGAGGGGATCTTTTAAGGATTTTTCCTTTAAGCCTCAACCTCATTTTGTTTTGTTCTTCTTCCACAGAACCCCGACATGCTGACGAGGAAGATAAAGCTCTGTCACATCAACGCCCACATCACATGTCGTCTGTGTGAGGGCTACCTGATCGACGCCACCACCGTCACAGAGTGCTTACACACCTGTAGGTCCCTCCTCACACACCAAGTCCCCTTTTCTGTCTTCCTTTGTGACTCAAAATATCCTCACAGTTTCAGTTCTGCTGCTCATCTTTCAGTTTTGTTCCTGTTTTTCTTTCTCGTTGTCAGCTCTTTGTCTCATCAGTTTCTTCTCTCTTGTTTACTTGACACATCGGCTGTGTGCGTCTCTAAGGGGATTTTCCTCGTCTCAGAAGGTGTTGCCTTCAGGATTTATCCCTGATGGGAAGACTCCTGGAGGCAGCAGAGTGATTCCTGTGTGATTCTAGCTGCATTCTGACAACACTGCCTGCAGTCTGTATGGTCTATCACACCACAGGCTATGAAGTGCCTGATCTGTCTGTCTGTTAGTCGAGCTGGCTGTGCACTAAGTAGGAGTTTTAGGCACCCACAACTTGACGTTTCTCTTCATTTGTATTTATGCTATGCACATATAAAACAATTTAAAAACATTTAGTGCCTTAAACCTGAGGTGAACGCACACACAGACTCACAGGATGACAGGAAATGAGATTCTTCCCGTCAGGTAATCTGCACGTTCATTATCCCCCATAAGAAGGTGAGAAGATGGCGTCTCTCATTCACTCAGCGGTACACCATTAGCAATAAAGTAGGATAATGCAGTCCGTTTGTATCTTCAGTTGCAGTCATTACACTGTCGGCTGGCGTTCTACTGAAACATTACTCAAGCCTGAAAGCTGGTTGTAGGTTAGGCTTCTCTTACGAACACAAGAAATGTGTGTTGGCCATAATCACTTCCAAAAGTAATTGAGTTTATGTGTTAATCAAATCTGTTAACTGTTGCACAAACATCCTCAATGGTGTAAAGATTATATTCATGAAGTGTCACGCAAAACCTCCTTTCTCAGTCAGGTTGAATGATTCTTTGTTGTTGATTTTCAGTTATGATTAATTCAGTGTTATTAGTCAGTTTGCATGTTTACTAATGAGCTTAGAACTTGAATAATCAGCTGCAACAGTTATTGTCATGTAGTCACAAAGTCTTGAACGTTAGACATTCGATAGACAGATTTTTATTGGGTTTAATTTGATTCCCTGACAACGTGTTTTAATAGTTCTCCTCATAATGCAGCTCATTGGGACTGTATTGCATTTGGATTTCTACCATTCTGAAAGCATCCTTTTCACTTTTTTTACTTTCTGAAGATTAATTTTGTCAAAAGTTAACACATAACTAATGTTTCTTTAAATCTATGTCCAGATTTAAAGACTGTAGTTACACTTCCAGCTTGTAATTTGAATCAGTAGAGATGCACTATTAAGATTCTGATCAACCTTTTAACAGTTTTCACAGTCATAAAACTCTTATGGTAGATACGCCTGCACACTCTAATGCAGTCCAATACAACGGTTGTGCTATAATATACAGAATGTTTGTTTTTTGTCGTTGTACTTGTTGTTGAAGTGTTAATTAGGTTTTAGCATGGAGATCATAGCTAGTGGTGGGGCTGTACTGGACTGCATTATGTTCATATATGTGTGAAACAATTTATACAAAAATGAGATACACCTCTCAACAAAATGTAGTTTGAGTACAACTCCACCTTTAACTGTGACCTCAGTAATAAACATATGACTCATTTCTGCATTTCCTCTGTTGTATAGGACTGCATTAGATTGTACAGGTGTATCAAATATCTGCTAACAAGCAAATGATAGCACTGTTCTGTGTGTGCAGTCTCTTAGTTCATAACACATCAGTAATACATATATTTAAGCTGATATTCTTTATGAACTGTTGTAAAGAGAAAACAAATCAAACATTCTTCAAAGGAGGAGAGAAATCTAAGCAACGCGCTCACTGTGCCTCAGTTGTAGCAGCTCAAAAATGAAAATAAAACAGCCTTAAGGAGACCACATGGGCCTATTTCTGAAACATTTAATTAACAATATTTGGAATATAAACATAATTAACAATTGAAGTTGTTTCAGTGGGTTTGGGTAGTTTAATCAGCAGCCAACTGTTTCATTTTGATTAGTTTGTAATTGAAGCCTGTTCATTGTGAGTCGTTCTGTGTCCATTCATCTTTAAATTTGACTGAAGTGAGTAAACATTATTTACGTAGCACGTTTGGAAACAGAAGTTACAAAGTGCTTTACAGACGAAAAGGAAAACCGGAAATAAAGGAGATGGACATGACAAGGACACAAACCACAAAATATAAAGAAAAGGCCAAAGAAAACAATGTGCCTCTGATTTAGCTTCAGACTTAGTGGAGGCCGTTCAAAAGAGCAACAAGATCTGAAAAAGGAATATTTGACGTGTGATCTGATTACTTTTTCAGCACAGATTACTTTTTCCAGATGTTTAGGGTTGATGGAAGAGCTTGATTTCCATCGGATTCACATTTACTAAAACAATATCTGACCCAGAAAATCCTGCTTTTTTAACTGTTGAGCTGTAGAAAATGTAAGCTGTAGCATTATAAAATGCAGCTGTAGACCATCTGTGGGCTCTTTGGTACTTTTCATCACTCTTGTGAAACAAGTCTGAAAGCTTCCTCTCCGATCCCTCAACCATCTAGCCAGACTCTTCCTGTACAACCAGAGAGGCCTCATGTATTTTTCAGCTTCAGTATTGCTAAAACCATCACGTGCTCGGTCAGGTCGGACACTGTTGAGCAGCTTTATAGCGCCTCTACAGGTGAAGCATGTTAGCTTGTGTTTTACTGCCTGCTAGAGAGAAAAAGGAAGTAGTGTGACCTTGAATTAGCCATTTTTGTAAGGCCTGGGGGGGGGGGGGGTCTCACTGAGTCGACCTCATCTGCAACCTTAAGTGCCCTTTAATGCTCACCTAATATCTGTGCAGAGCCAACAGCGTTATACAGACATCAGGACCAAAACCGACCGTTTGAGTTGATACTTTGAGGTTCTTGTTGTGAAATCATAATTATCAGGTACTTTAAATAATGACAGGGGTCTGTGGATGTTGGGCTCGAAGGCATTCTCACCCCCACTGTGTTTGGAGCTGTTTAATTGAACTCAACACATTTATTCCCGGTACAGTGTGTTTGGGTCGAACTGGAGTGCGGACCAATCACTGGTTTTTTGGTTCGCCTCGAAGAGATTAAAGTGAAGGCTTTTTTTTTTTTTTTTTTGGTTAAAAGTGAGAAAAAACTCTCAGAACAGTCCATACCCATGATTCTGAGCTCCCTAAGTTGCTAGTGCATCGTTTTAAATGCACAAAACCAAACATCTAACTGAATTTAATACCAAAATGGCAGCGAGAAGATAAAGTACAAATAAAGTATTAGACAAACCCAGACAGTGTGATACCTGGTCTGTCCACCAGAGGGAGCTCCTCCACCACAGATGGGAGCTGTTCAGCCCACGGTAAACATCAGAGACCCGTTGAGAGGCTTTGATTCTCCCTCTCACTTTGGAAAAAGGGGGGCTCCTCGGTTGGAGAGTTGAGACAAAGAGATTCACATCACGTCTCTTTTGCAGCTGTTCTGACAGACTGAGCTCCACCGCAATAAAACTTGTCAGAGGGAGAGATGGATGTGATGGAGGTCTGTGTGCAGAGAGTTACAGTGTTGGTGCTTCAAATGTCCTGTATTATGAACGTGAAGGTTTCCACAGGTGAAAAGTCAAGTAGTTTAGGTTTCAACATCATTTTTGATATTCGATTATTTATCCAAAGTCAGAATGTGGTAACAATGTTAAAACCAGTGCTTTAGTCAAGAGTGTGTTTTTATTGTATCTGTGTGGGCATCTTTATCTGCAGTTCACCCTCCGTTTCTTTCACCCTGTAGGAGATTAATCAGTTATTTTTTGATTGACATAAAATGTATTTATTAAGACAAACATTCCCTCAGATGTGAGGATTTGCTGCTTTTCTCTGACATATGAATTGATTAGTAAAACAGTAGCTGGTTGTAGTTTTGTGGTGAAGTTTCTATGTACAGTTTGGGCTACTTGTAAGACTCTTAACTCTTAACATCACAAATGGAGCTCGACCAGTATTTGTGAATTTTAAAATCGGATGATAAAGTCTTGGCTGACATTTACTTTTTAACACACACACCACACATAGACATTTTTGAACAGGCCTGCTTATAATTGTTTATTAAAGTATTGTGACTAAGATGTGATGGGGACATTTACAATGTAGAAATGGATTTTCTAAATGAATGAATTAAATGTAAAGATTTTCTGAGCTGATATGTCTTGTGACTTATCAGCAGACAATATACGGCATTATGCTGTAGCTCTTCGATGAGCTAAATATCGGTCGGCTGATTTGTCAGTTGGGTTCTAATTATGCGCAATTTATGGTAAAGTTTGCTCAGACTCACAAACATATTTTGAAATAATAAAATAAAATATTTGTCATTTCAAACATCCTTCTGAAAACATACCAAAGACACAGTGTAATTGTTGGCCAATACACTATGCACCTGTAGCTCGGACAGTAACCATGACACTGTGTTTGTTTGTGTGTGTGTGTGCGTCTCCAGTCTGTAGAAGCTGCCTAGTGAAGTATCTGGAAGAAAACAACACGTGCCCCACGTGTAGGATTGTTATTCATCAGAGCCATCCACTGCAGTACATCGGGTGAGTGAGGGAGCCGCCGCAGACACCACACTCTCTCTCTGACACACACACACACACACACACACACACACACACACAGACACATATACACACACAGGTATGTTGTCTTTCATTTTGTCTTTCTTTCTGTTTCCTTCTGCCTTCCACCCTCACAAACATTTAGTACACACACACACACACACACACACACACACACACACACACACACACACACACACACACACACACACACACACACACTCTCTAAGGTTTTGACAGTGCTCCATCAGTGTGCAGGGAGCTGCTCACTGCCGCTGGGAGCATCAGCAGTGCACTGCCAGTAAAGAATAAACTACCAAGGAACAAAGTGCTGCTGGCCTTTCTCCATTTTATTTCTTCTCCTCTGCAGACAGCTGAGGGTTGTGTGTATTTCTGTGAATTTTTGTAGGGTTAGATATGTGAACATAAAAAGGTTCAATTAATAATTCTGCTCCCTAGATGAGAAAATACATACACTATTAGGTGCAATATATAATATATGCAGTTATTCATTAAATGCAAAGTACTATTACATCTTTGAGTGGATTGCCTCATGGATGGCTGAGAGTGTGCAGATTTTCATATTACTCAAACATTAATTAATGTGGTTTTAGTGATTTATTTCTGTGATCGGTGATCCTACTCAAATAGAGGCTGTTACAGTTAATGATTAGTAAATGAATAAACATTAATATCATCATCAGTCGGTGGTATCAGTTGCCCCATGTGAGTCTGTGAAGGCCCCTTGTTCTATTTAGAGTACTCGTCCAGTTTACCATTGCACTCCTCTGAAACTGCCAGGCTTTTAAAAGATTAAAATCAATGACATTTTAGGTTTGTAGTTAGTTATCTCTCTGAACCCCTTCCAGACACCAACATTATGAGAAGTGAACGAGTCTTTCTAAACACAACTTAACGTACGTGAATGTTTCAGTCATATACTCCATATAATATAAATATAATTCATATATTTCACATAATGTTTTGTGAACTATATAATGACATCTTGACCTCTGAAATAAAGAAGTAATTTCCTTTACCGGCAGGGAGTGATAATACCTGCATGAGAGGGGCCTGAGGAGGGGGGTGCTGCAGTTGGACCCTTTTGCCAATTACGCACTGCCTATTATGACATTGCTCTGCTAGTTACGGTGACACATAACAGTCAGCTTGTACATAATGTGGAGTTAGCTAATTGCCCCAAATGTATACAAGATGAACCCTCGGATATCTTTAAACATTTAACAGGAAGAGAAAAGCGAGGGAATTTCATATAAAAATACATACAATATGTATAAAATGATGTACATATTATACAAATGTCTGACATACAAATATAACAGAACTATTTTCACAGGGACACTTGATAAGATCTTGGTAAATGTAGTTTTTATTCAACTGTCTTTAAAAAGGGAAACAGTAAATACATTTTTAAACTTTACATCCTTAAATGTAAAGGTAACAGAACATTGGCTCAAATACCACACAGACAATAGAAGCTATATAATACTGTAGATATAGAGTGGATCTTTGTAATAACAGCATTGACTGTACATTATCATAGATCAGACAGTGCAGTTAATGTAACTACTGACAGCTGCTCACCACTGCTGATAGAGTGGACACAGAGCGTGACTGTTATGAAACTGTAGTGGACCTCAACAAGCACAGCTGGGAAATATTTGAATGCATTTGCCTCAAAAATGACAACAAATTGCACCTTATCTTTAAAATAATAGTACTGAATGAAGTTTTACTCATCAGGTAAAAATAAAGACGTAGACGTCTGCTTCTTATTGTTTTGGGAAGTTCACTCAGACTGAATCCTCCTCACTGAGGGATTTTGTTGTTCGTGCCCCCTCTGAGCGCTCAAGCGTTCACGTCTGATTAATGGGACACACAAACTTAATGTGTAACAGCAATTTAGTCATTACAGTCTAAACTGCGCTGTCTGCAGACTCATTGTTTCGCAGGAAATGCTCCATTTCAAACACATTAGCTCTTCGCACAGCTGTTTTTTGCCTCATTGTTTGCAGGAAATTGGAGTTGATGGGAAACATCACAAGTGATTTGAAGGCAAAAGCGCCCAACAGCTGACGGATAAACCCCATCTGCTCATCAAGAGGATTGATCAAAGTTGATGTTTGAGATTGAACTCACACTGAGACGTCTCCTCACAGAGAATTAGCTCAGCAGAACTAATCCTGCCCCTTGTACTGTCGAGTGTGGCTTTCCTTGATGGTTTTAATCCATTATTTTTTTCACCTTATACTTGAAATGATTCTGGTTATGACAACAAAACCATCACAAAATCATTCTGAACATTAGGTTAAACGGCTGCAAAGAACGCACTTCAAGCATTCTTTAGTGGCACAATGGAAATCCGTTAATGTAGCTGCTGGTTTATATATAAATTTGCCACGTCTTGCCTTTACAGGGCTGATTTTATGTGAAACCTTTATTTACCCTTGTAAAAGTCTCCTTAACAGCACAAGAAATCAATGTTATTGCAAGACAGACAAAATACAGCATATAGGCCAATTAAACGGTAACGGTAGTGAGATTATAGTTTATATACCTGATGCAAATACACATATATACCTACAGACAAAAAAAGGGGAAGCCTGAATAAATGTTGGAGAAACAGGGCTAAATAAATGGTATGTGAATTATATGCTATGGCCTTTACAATCATCAGATCCCAACACATTTTGAGTAATGTTAGACAATGATCTCCACCACCATCAACCCCGAATAATAAAGAAACATCTTTTAAAGAATGACGTTCACCCCTCCAGTAGAGTTACACAGACTTTTAGAATCTATGCTAATTGTCACATTTGTACACAGCAGAGCTCAGTAACAGTCCAAACCTGGTTGCGAGAATGATACTCCCAGCTCTGTCCAGCAGGGGTCAGTGTTCTGCTGCTTTTTGGAGCGAGGCTCAGCATCGAGCAGCTAATTTTGGCCCCAGATACAGTGACTCTCCCAGTGGACAGCAGGGGAGACGAACATGCCACATTTTTCTGTGGTTTTTCCGCCATAACGCCGCAGCAAACTCAACATGTCGTGTCCGTTCGCTGGCTGCCACGGCTGGTTGTCCAAAAGGCACCATCATGGTGATGGCAGACCTGAGCCCACACTGTGCACCTGTGTCGCCGGCACTGACTAACAGTGAAATGCTATTTAACACTCTGACTGACAGAGCATATGCTGCACACTAGCCTCTGAGAGCTGGTGCCATTTGGATTTTTCAGCCTATCATAACATGTTTGCCGTCGATCCATATGTGTCAGTTTTATATTTTCAGGTTTTTATCAGGCAGGGATTTCACAGTTAGCTGTGCCTAGAGTAGTACTGTAGATCAGTGGTTGCCAACCTTTCTTGGCTTGTGACTACTTTAAACAAAGCATGGTCTATCTGTAACTCATTTTGGAGGCCTGGATAGGTGAAGAAATAAACACACATTCTGTAGCATAGATGTATTTCAGATGAAATGATACTGACTCCTTTCTGGATAGGGAACTACTGCTGTAGATTATACAAAACCATTTTAAATCCTAAGCGATACAGTGCTCTGGAATATTTCAGGTGTGTGGCTATCTTTGGATATCAATTTCAAATGCTGTTGGTCCATAATGTTAATTGTCATCAACTAATAAGGTAACTAATCAATTTCTTGTTTTTTTTAGCCATGACAGAACAATGCAAGACATTGTCTACAAGTTGGTACCGGGACTTCAAGAGGGTAAGTGCCATTTACTGTCTTTCCTTATGAAGCCCCCCAGTGAGAGATCCAACTAATAACCTCAAAACTCTAGCTTGTATTTTGCTCTACCGATGTCTGGTATCTTTGTCTCAGGGTTCGTACAAAGTCTTGATTTTCAACATACTCTGGGGTTTCATTAACACAATCACTCATGTGAAACAAAAGTCTTTGGTTATTTGAAATGAAGCGATCCAGTTGTTGTTTGTCATTTGTTTACTGGAAATTAGCAAGCATTAAATCATGATAATGATCAAAACATGCAATCAAAGTTAATATGAACAGATGGTAAAATAAACAAAGTGACAATATGTCTGTGGGTATACAGGAATTCTGTCATTTATAGTAACAATTTAGTGCTTGAAAAGTAAAAAAAACAAACAACTAACTACTACTCGCTGGCTGGCCATCCATGAGTAACAATTTTTAATAAAATATTCTTGCTGTTATTGCTGGCCTGTGAGACCTAATGAAGCAGGTTATAGTGTGTGCACGCACACACACACACACACACACACACATCACACACACCGCTGAATTTGAATTGCCCAGTGACAGCAGTGACCTTGAGAAAAAGACACTGTCATCTCTTATTTTTCTCTCTTCCCCCTCCTATGCAGCGGAGATAAAGAAGCAGAGGGATTTCTATCAGAAGTTGGGGATGGAGGTGCCTGGAGACATTAAAGGAGAGCTTTGCAATATGAAGACTCATCTAGATCAACGCAATGGTACGGCCTTACCCACACATGCTCCTTCGTTTGTTTTTATAAACACTCAGAGGATTCACAGACAGATTTTGTTTTTGGGTCATTCCTTGCAAATACTGTCATGGATGAATTCTTACAACTGGTCAAAAAGGAACCCACCAGTGATTTGTAATGTCTTAAATCGAAAAATTTTAGAATGTATCCCAACCAGACACTTTGGAATCCAACAGTTTCAGTCTTAATTTGGTAATGATACATAATGAAACTTGATAGTTGTTTCTTTCTGATTAAATATGCACATCATTTTTTAGTGATAGCAACCCTATGCCTATGTGAATCCAGTAACTAGCCCTGGTGGCTTTAGTAGCTTGATTTACCAGTTTTTACCAGGTTTTCCCCTGTTCAACATGCCCTTAATATAGTGGAGGCCACAGCATGCCAAAAGGTGTTGCTTACCTCTATCTTGTCTTATGAGTTATGGGTAGAAGTTTGTCCAAATGTCAGTAGGGATCAACATGTCTGAGGTGATCAAACAACCCAACAAAAACAGGGAATGGGAGGGAGGGGAATGTTCCCTCCAAGTAACGGACGATTTACAAAAAAAGAAACACACAGTTTACCACAATGTAGCACACACATCTAAGTATACTAACCACGAGTTTGTATTGTTTGTTTTTGGGCTCATGGAAGCTTGGTTTATACTCGGTGTAAGTGGTTATGGGACAGCTATCTGCAGGGAAGATTTTGATTTTTTTCTGTAATTGTTGCGTTCTTTCATTCACTGCGTGATATTAAGCAATGTTTGAAAAGTTGCCCTGTCTCTAACTGAATAGGAGACTGCCGCCATGCCATCACCATGTGAGTGATGGCCGAGGTTTACAGTGGAGAGGGTTTGCTACATGTTTGTTACTGGACAGAGCAGATAAGTGATTGGACTTTGGCATGGGCACTTTTGGCCGTGCCGATTCAGACCATACAGCAATTATTTGCATTTCCATTACTAGTTTAAACATGCCGAGTTGTGCTGGAGATGGTCTCTCTCCAGAGTGGGGTCAAAGCGCATCTCATCCACAGTAACATCAGATGGGCTCTGAATGGTGTTAACAAATTGTGGCTTCCTCTTCTAAATCAATTTCGTCTCCGTTTTTTAAGCAGTAAGTGGTAGATGCCAAGCAAAATTGTAAATCCATGATTGTGTGTGGTGTCTGGTTCTTCTCATTGTACTATATAAGGTATGAAGCCACCAACTTGTAATGAGTAACATTAGAAGCAAGACCACATGTAACACCGGAAGCCATTAAGCAGTAGAGATGAAGGCAATTTAGCCAATCAGAATGAGTCCCTGGACCGCTTGTTGTGCTCAACGGCTTTTCCGTACCAGCTCACTTCCAAGGGCTGGTGTAAATGTGTGCCCAGAGGGTTGTCATGCTGGCAGGCCTAATCGCTCGCTTAATCCCCCTCTCTGATTTTGGTAATTAAGGCTCAAATGGAAGTGGAACTGCTCTTCGGCTTCCTGTGCATCGTCGCTTGAAGACAGGTCTAGCTACAGCACGCACACACACACACACACACACACACACACACACACACCCCAAATACACATACATGTTCATACACAAACACATTTTAAGGATCATTTGCGCAGACGCCAATAGAAATACCCGGGGACTCCTCGATTGCATTTCACCATCATTTCAATTCGGCTAAAACACAAACAAATACAATGTCTTTAGCCTTGGGTAGGGATAAAAATATTTTTTGACTTTTAACACACATAAAAAACTGTAGAAAGTCAAATGTGCATATCGTTTGGAGGCTCATTGACCAGGATGTTTTTCACTCTTGGGTCAATAAAGAGTTGTTTTTATGCATTAGAAGACATTCTCTGTGTATTGATATCTGACTTCTGTGTGTGAATTGTGAAAGCTGCTGTCGAACTTGAGTGCAGATGAGAAAATAAATAGATCATCCAGTCCACCTCAAAGCTGGTCTGAGGGTTGGCTCCCAGCTCCCAGCTCCCAGCTCCACGCACCAAAAGCTAAATCACTTGTTAGGTTGAAAATGTCACATTACTATCATCTGTACTTACAGTACAAATACAGTATATTTTAGTCGAAACATTATAAAAACACTGTAATATGACATGATACTGCCCACTCAGACATCATTGGATTTCTTTGGGTTTATCATGGTAGATGGACCGAGGTAGCAACATTTAGATAATGAGAGATAACTTTGTCTGTGATGTCTGCTGTGATTAAATAAATGTCTGTGGCACACAGATTGAAGGATAGGTTAAGTCCAATTTTCCCTCCTCTTCATACTGACCCTACAGTCCGCTCTAAGAAATGGGGGTCAAATTCAGCAATTCTTGGTGTGAGCTAAAACATGTTCCACAGTTCAGCCAAAGCTAATGTTGTACCATAGTTTTAGTACATTCGTCTTCTTAATTGCAAAGACTACGACTGTTTAAAAGTGCCAGCTGACACAATACTGCATATTCTCCTACACAGAACGGAGTAGGACAGCAGTCTTACAGTCTAAATGCCCAGCAGGTGACCTTTAGAGGCTATGCTGTCCCTTACAATCAAACAAAACCAGCTGACACTGTGGTTTTTAGAGCCAGGTGGCTTCACTAACAAGGCCAAAAACATCTCTTCGACTATTTCAGACAAGCTATAGTGAGAATTTTAACATCCAGCATCACCACAGGGATTTTAAAATGGCTTTTTGCTGTAAAACACACAGCCTGACTCTGGCTTGTTTACTTCCACTCTTTACTCTCCAGTCAGAGAAAATGGATGCTCCTCATTAGTTCTTATTTAAGAATGGCAAACCAAAGTTAACACATGGTAAAGCAGAGATCACACAACACTAACTTCAGGCAACAGTGGGCACTCTGTTAATGTTGCCCCTGCCAGCCGAGCTGAACCACATTACACTTAATTAAAGGCTCATTTATCCAGAATCCCTCAGAAAGAGAAACTTTCTCTGGGGTCCTCTCTAACCAGCTGAGTTAAATAAATTCTTCTGGCACATTGCTGACAACAGGACAGGGTAGCACCCCCCCAATTCCTTAGAGCTGAATTCAGGGCCAGAAATGTTAATGCTGGTAACATTATGTCCAATACATTTACTACAGTCGGTCTTGGTGACTTTGGTGCAGAGAAATGCCAACATCTGTTTTCAAGAACAGAAAATCCCATAAGACCATGTAAACCTTCAGTACAAGTCTCTAACCTTTTTAAAAAGGTATTTTTTGGACATTGTATGCCTTTATTAGACAGACAGCCACAGAGTGAAGACTAGAAATTAGGGAAGATGGGGAAGTTGTTTGTATTCTGAAGTTGTTCAAGGTTGCTGCCTTAATCACGAGCCCAGGGCAGCCCAATTCCCTAATAAACAGCAACAATTAATCAGATTATCCTGAGAAGCTGGGGTTTTTGGGGCCTCTGGGGGCTCAGGGTTGTCTGTTTTGCCTGGTAATCCATGTAAATCTATGTAAAAATGCACACTGATGAGGTACTATTGTGGACTGATGCTCATCAACTCATCGGGAATCACAACTGTCTAACTATTTCCCAGCACTGACGTGTTACAATTTTTTACAAACGCAGACTCAGCACATTCTGCCTACTTAACTGTACCTTTACTCCTTCCTCTGTATGTATGACACGCACAAAGTGTGCTATGGGTGTCGACTGGCATGAGATGATGCTGTGTGACGTGGCAGAAGTGTGTTGCACTGCAAAACCTTTAATTGTTTGGAGCTTAAATTCTAGGAGTCTTAAGGTGTTACAGAGACACAGAAAAACACACAATATGCACCATGGACCCAAATGTTAACGTATTATGGCACTGTGACATTAACAGGTAAGTGCGTACACAGTGAGTTTTCTTCCAAGCAAAACTCGACACAGGCAGAACAAAAACTTGGTTTCCACCAGCACACAACAGACTCATTTCTCTAAATTGCCTGGTTTCCTGTGCACTTAACGCAAGAAAATAGAGGGACAGGGTGCCATGATGAGTCTGCTGAGTGCACTTTTCTCTTTCATGACAATATAAACTCCCACACACGGCTAGTTTACTCACTTGATATCGTCATTGTACATGGCTTTGTGATTTAATTGTATGTGAGAGATCGCAAATGAGCGAGTGAGTGGGACAGAAAAAAACTCTTTTAATAGAGAGGCTGCTCAGTTTTTTAAAATCCCCAGACACAAGCAATCATCCCATTACCTGAAACACAAACAGCGTTTTTATGTCTGTTTAGAGTCACTGAGGTACTCCAGGGTTGCTTGAAGGTGAGACACAACAATAAGAGCAAGGCCCTCTTCATAAGCAATCAGTGAGGCCAGCTCTGGAGACAATCACCACAGAGACATCAGGGCAAGCTAAGACCTTTCCCAGTTATACTCAGTGGAATTGGTGACAGTTAGCCTGAACGGAAAATGGTCACAGAGGGGTGAATGCAATCCCATCTGCAGTCTGAGCTGACGTGTACACACACACACACACACACACACACACACACACACACACACACACACACACACACACACACACACACACACACACACACACACACACACACACACACACACCATGTTATTATATCCACTGAATCCAGGAAGAATAGACAGAATTTCTTTTGTTTTTAAAGGTTACAGAAAAGCAATACCTATCTGTGCAGCAATTTTGTCACAGCACCGCAACTTTGACTTTGATAACTAAGTTTCAGGTCTTAAAAATTCAATATTACTACAGTATCACAGCCAACAAGAAGAAAAATATAACCACACCTGTCTTGGACAACTTTGTAGCCGCTGCTTCACAGGGCTTTTAAAAGTAGGTGTGTGTCCTCCACTGTGTTCATGTGCACACAAGAAACCATATCAAAGTAGGAAGGCTATATAAAGTCTCTGTAGTGAGACAGCAGACAAAACAAGCAATTTGAGGACATGTTTCATGAGCATTTTTCACATTGATTCATCAAGAAAGTAATTGTCAGATTAACTGATGATAGTTGAAGCCCTGCAGATCGGTATTTTATACGATCTGTCCATCCACATTTAATTTCAAGTATTACTCTCCAGAGGGAATTAAAGGTACTTTCAGATTGCAGGACACATTTAGTGAATTAACGTTCATAAAATGTATAAAACTTCAAATCATATTCCCTCCAACGTAAGCTTTTCACATAAACTCTTTAAATATAGTTGACTCGAGGTGTACTGTGTGATTCAGGCCTCTTACAGCTCCAAACCATAAGCTCTGTGTGGTGTATTATTAAACAGCACCTTGCCTTTCTTGCAGCACTGTGAACTCATTTCTGAGACACACGGAGTGTGTGAACTCTCTTCCTTCCTATTTTACCATTCATTCACCAAAGACTGCCGCTTACTGATGCCAGCCCTCATGTAGGCTAATCAGTATGGAGAATGACCGAGTTTTCCTTCTTGTTAGAAGTTTTCCTGTATTAGAGACGTGCCCAGACAGCGGATAAGTCGTATAAAGGATGCTTTGACACCCTCCGACGTGTAATTGCCTTATAAATGGACCTCTGCAGGAGGTGTTTTTACGCTCCACCGGCTGCAGGCTGTTTAAATACTGCACAGAGACAAACAAACCCGTTTCCTGTTTTCAACAGGGCCACCATGGACGACAATTAAGCTCAAGCCTCTTGACTTAAGTTAATGAGCATGGTGAGAGAAAAAACAATGCTTCTCCATAACCGGATTGACTGCAGCAAAAACAGAAGCAGATGCAGTTTGAGACAATGAGGTGTCCATGATGTATATGTGCATGTTTAGATCTGTTTCTGTGCTCTGCTCTGGTCAGCAAATGTTTATTCAGAAACTCGACAGCTCAATGCTCTTCCTCCTTTTGGTTTTCTGCACAGGCGATGCAAAATCAGAAGACACGGCCAATAAGGAGGCAGGAGAGGAGAAACCAGAAGAGGACAACGACTATCACCGTAGCGACGAGCAGGTAAGCCCTCACTTACACACGGACAGCAATTTATGCTTCTGATTTCTTCTCAAGGACTCTTAAAAATAACAGCCTCTCATTTAGTCAGTTAAAGGTTTGATTTGTCAAACATAGAAAGAATAATCACTTCACCTGATGACCATGAAGATAGTTTTGATTTTGTCTGTCCAGGTTTTGAGAAATCTGCTTCTTTTCCAGTACAATGTGGGTAAATTTAATTCTGTTCCATTATATATAAAGAATTGAACAGCACAGTTTCCAGTCTTTGGTCCAGTTTTCCAAGTCCCTGTTACCCTGAATAATCCTCAGACTGTCAATAGTTTTTAAACTCAAACTACTTTCTACCCCAAAAAAGGTCCCTATGAACCCTAAATTGTTTTCAAACCAACATTAGCACTTCAGAGTATTGGTAATCAGAGTAACAGGGACATTGTTTCTGGAAATAGAATTGTTGAGATGTAAATGTTTAATGCTGTGAGCACCACAAACATAATCCCATCCTTAATGTTAGCAGTATGGAGGCAGACATATCAGAGTCAGATATCTAAGAACATGGGTAAATAAAATCAAAACTATCTGCATGGATAGATGCCACTAGAGGTAAGTAAGAACCAGTTTTTATGTCATTTTGTTAAACAAGCCCTTTTTTAAATCATATAATATAATATACAAGGAATTTTGGGAAGCACTACACATTGGTTTGTCTTTTAGCAGTGATTACAAGAAGCAAATTGGATAAAATAATTGTGGGTTACAAAGCAGTAACAAAAGCACAAAGGGAAAAAAAATGCTGTTGGCGATAATTGTGGGTACAATTGCCTTAAAAGCCTGCACATCAATTATTGCCTTTACAAAAGTGGCCCCCATGTGATTTACCAGGCTGTTTTACAATTACTGCATTCTTTTGTCTTTGGTTTTTCGCCTGTTTGATTTGTGTAGATCCACAGACACCACAGAGCCACACCACTGCCATCAAAATGGAAATGGGCTTCACTTGATTTCATTTATATTCTGGCACATTCTCAAGCTCTGCAAAATGACATTAATAATGCAAAGAGAGCGCAGTTATTGTTGTGCTGGACAGAGGTTATCAGAAACACAAAGCGTCTCCCCCCGCAGTGTTGCACGGGCTGAGGAAAATTGTTTTTATACCATCTTAGTCGTCGTTTTTAAGAGCACAAAAACCCAACAGGCAGATTTTAAAAAAGCAAACCGGTCGTCTCCAATCAGGCAGCTCTTCACCGCCATGTGGGGAAAACAGGCTGCCCCGATGAGGGTGAAGTTCCTGCCCTTTGGATATTCGGCAGCGGTGCAGGATGCGTTCAGAATAGCTAATACGGCAGACTGTGTGAGCTGAATGCAGGCGTGTCAAATGTCACAGAGAGAGAGAGGGAGAGAGAGCAGAGGAATGACTGATGAAAATGAGAGATTTGCAGGATCGAGAGAGAAAAAGATCGGCTCATGAAAACAAGTCATTATGCAGGGTGAAAATTATAGAACATAATTCCTGTTGGAAGGGGTGGGGGGTCGTGAGAGTTATGAGTAAGAGGTGAGTCTTGTCAGAACGTAAAGGCAGTGGCTGAAATGAGAGGAACATAAAGAGAGAAAACTGATGGAATAAGATGTTAGAGATATGTGCTAAGTAAGGGGTCTTTGAGATCTAAGGGGAGACCAGAAAACCCCCCATAGGTTTCTCATTTATTACTTTGAAAACACTGACAGAAATTGCAGGGCATAGGATTGCTGCTGTGAGATAAAAAAAGGAGTGCTACTGTGATAACCTCACTGAGTTGTAAAATCCTGTCGTTAACCTCTCATTCTGTGCAAGAATAAGAGGTTTGTGTAAATGCTACCGGCTCACAGGACCTGGTCTATAGACTTTCTCCAGGGAACCTTCTACATTTCTTTGTGTGTGCAGACTACGTAAAGATTATCAATAGATTTTGCGAGTGCAGAGGTCTCACATTTTACTGTTTCCACTCTAAACAGCTTATCTGCAGAACAAAGTAGTTGTTTGGAAGAATCGAGTACTATCGGGTAACAAGAAGGGCCGCCTGATAAAAACAATACATTTAGATGTACTTGCCCACTCCTGATAAGTTTCTTGAAGGACCACTTTTGTGTTTGCTTGTACTAACTTAGAGTGAGTTGTAAAACAGTCAAGAGACATTTGAGGACAGAAAACTTCATGCTGTAAAGGTCCTTGGAAGCCCTTTCATTTTCCAGAAATGCAGCAACCAGCCCAGATTGTAGAAAGCAGAGGGTGTCACAATGAAAGATGAAGTGCATTAGAAAACCAAAGAGTTGTGAAGAGAGAACATTGGAAAATGCAAAACAAGATGCCTCATCTCAAAGGGTTTATAGTCATATGTGATCAAGAGGTCCGGAGGATTGATAGCAGCAGTTGCCATCAAGAAGAATGAAGATGAGGGACGAAAGAGTCCCAGAAAGCTGCCCGCCCCCCCATCACGATGTCACTGGAGATGTAGAAGCCACTAGGATGTAGGAACCGGCAGGCAAACCGGCACGCATGGCCAACTTCCAGAACACTTCCCCGCTGTCTTCTGGACGACCTTTCAGAGTGTAACCTTGGGGTGTGAGGCAGTGCCAGAGAAAGCTAACGAAAGCAAAGACGGCAAACAAAAACAGTAAACAAGGATTACAACAGAGCCTCAATGAATCAGAGAAAACCCTACATTATGAGCATGAAGTAGCATTGTTTCAGATGAGGTATAGAGGTAAGGGTAAGATCTCTATGGGGTGAGGAAAAAATAAGAAAAAGCTATAAACTTAATGAATTAGTTATTTTGAGCTTAAAGAGTGTACTTCGAAGAAACTGGACAACGCAGCACTGCTCTGAATTATTAATTGAGCCTTGAATTCTCAAAGCCTGATTTATCGGTGGTCCACATCAATTCTCACACAGAGAGACCCAAGCTTTTCTTTTACACACAGCTACACACACACACACACAGATTTTATGAAAAACAATACCAGTAGACGTATTGCCTCAGACCTCTGCAAGCATTCAGGCTTCAGTAATGAGCCCGTAAAATAATGTTAAGCTTTCTCTGCATGATATTTTCTTGATATGCCTCACTATTGCATCAGTCACGTCTGTGAGTGTGTAGAGCTGTAGCAGGACTCTTTGGCTCCACACCGACGCCACTAATGCACTGTAATGTAATGAAACTGCCATGGAGCCGCTGTGGAGTCCAGATCACCACCGAGGCTTTTATTTCACATTATGAGCCTCGCTCATCGCCAACGCCACTGGAAAGCAGATATATTACGGTGTTGCTCTTTGCTTATAGAAGGTGCACTGAAGCGCTGCCAGTGTTTATTTGAGGAGAGAGATGATTTCAGCGTTTAAGCAGAAACCACGGTTATGTTGCTTTTTCCTGTCTCAATAGAGATGGATTAAAAGAGACAGACAGAGGGAGAGTGTGACAGAAAGGACACCCACAATGAAGAAATATATGGCTTCGGTCCTTCTCTTCTGTCTTTTGATACGTGGGGGCAGGAGCTCAGTGGCAGTAATGCATTCTGACTCCTGCAACCATCGACTGCCAAAACCACCTACCGTTTCACCTCGGGGGGGCAAGTGCACAGGCCAACGGCTGACGCTCGGTTGCATGAAAGAATACAATAAGCAAAACAGACCATTCTGGTTCAGCGAGATGGGTGGTACAAGCAGACTTGGAAATCAGCACCAGTGTCAGACTGAATTAAACAGCTATCACATTGTCCTTTTCTAATCCTTAAGCCTGTTCTCATGAAAGATCGGGCGAAACGAGTAACTCTGGGGTCAGTAGGGAATGAGAATATGCTAAATACTTAGCATCTCTCATGTTTAGCTGCAAGCCCAGACGCAGGTTTCAGAAACAGCACTGCTCCTGTTGTTTTCCCACTTTTTGATATCAAACAAGGCTGTGGTATCCAAGGCAACAATTTGAATTGCACAACAGAAGATAGAATAGTTAAATAGTTGAAAAATGGAGAGAACTGCAAATATATCCTGAAACACTTCTGGGGGAAAAAATGTCAAGTTTGGTTTGAAGGTAGCGCCAGAGGAATGGTCATTTTTTTTAACCAAAGCAAGAGTTTGCCTCTTTTGTACTGCCGCCATTTTATGAATGCCTTATAAACAGTCTTTATTGATGTTTTTATATGTTTGTGTTTCCTCTTAACAGGTCAGCATCTGCTTGGAGTGCAACAGCAGCAAGCTTCGAGGTCTGAAGCGCAAGTGGATCCGCTGTTCAGCACAAGCCACAGTCCTCCACCTCAAGAAGTTCATCGCCAAAAAGCTTAACCTGACATCATTTAATGAGGTACAGAAAAATAACACGCTCCATCAGCCCAGAAAGAAGTGCACTGAGAGGGGACCATTGTAATTCTGTCACAAGCTAAATGTGCTTCTAGTGAAGGGATAAGACTGTGAAACTACAGAGATCACAGGATAAACAAACAAATGCAAGCGAGGGATCTTTTTTTCCCCCGCTTTATGCGAGTTCTCTACATGTTAACCTTTCAACTAACATTTGGCACCAGTCAGATTGTTCCATTGCTTAAAGCTAGATTTAACCTGCAGGTCACACCTCCTACCATTCTGAAAAGGTCTGCAGTGCATTTTCAAATTTTACATTAGTCTGCTCCACAAAGGGAAGAAATATGAAACGTATTAAATATTAGAAAATCACTTCAGCTCACGAATGGTTCTTAATTAAAGGATCTTGACTGGGTGGAGGGACAAGAGGAGAGTGGGCGAGGTGACATATTAGTTTTTATTTCAATTAATTAAATTTAGGATATTCATTTTACAGCATTTTGTGACACGATGAGATCAACTATGGCTTACTGTTCTCAGTCATCTAACAAATAATGTCGATACCATCAGTGTAGTGGAGCAATTTGGATCAAATCTTTTTCATTCTTGGCGTTTGTTTACCTTTTTTTGAAGCACCAGCTGGGCAGAGTGGGCCATGTGTAACAGAAAGTTTAGTTAATCACAAGAACTTACATAAAGGACACTTTATTATACTTCGATGCACTGACTCATACAAGGCCTTTGTGTTTGTTATATTTAGCAGGAAACGAGCTCTTATGATATCTAGATGTGGTAATTTTTCTATTTTTTGTCTTTACCACCCCGTTCAGAGCAGCAGGAGGGGACGGTGGGCGATCATTTGACAGATGGATTTTTAGAATGTCGTGAATAATCATCACAGACGCCTTTGTGTCCTCTATTTATTTATTTATTTATTTATTTATTTTCCGTCTCTTTTTTTACTGGCTGTCACAGAGATGAGTGGGTTGGCTCCATCATATCGTCGGCCTCCATTGCACAACTTTGGCGAGGCAGCCGCTCTCCCCACCAGCCATTGTTGTCCTTTCTATTGACTATCAAAAGCTGTTGTTCGAAGCAATTCTGTTTTCAGCGGCGGGCCAAGCGCAGAGCGTTACAACACTTGGCTTTGTCAGAGAACAGTGCGCCATTTACTCATTCCTCGTGTTTGTAAACCCACCGTTGTGGTCCTGTCACCCATCTAAATGTGTCTGCAGGAACGCCTGAATAAAGGAATAGGAGAAACTTACCAACCTCTTTAAAAAGATTTATTTAATCCTCCAAAGGGACTGCATATCTTAAAGTCAAGTGTGGGATATTAACTCAAAATCACCATATTTGTGCTTGGTTTCATTGGATAGCTACAATATGTCAAAGACTAATGTTCCCTTCTTTGATTGATTAATTGTATACTGTGAAGGGTCCTGATGAGGCTAAACTCTCTAATATAATCTCTAATATGTCAAAAGAAAGAAGCAAAAAATCATCTTGTGGCCCCCTCAGGTTCACCTTGTGAGTGCTTAGGGGGTCCTAAACCCCAATTTGGAAACTACCATTTTAAACAATGCTCATGTCTCTATCTTAATATAATGTGTAATAATCTCTTTGTCTTTAGGCCTGCAACTACTGATTATTTATTTTATTTGTTGATCTGCTTTCTCCACTAACAGAATCTAAATACTCAATAAGGCTGTTTTGTGCCACTGACTGTCAAAAACCTTCAATTTGCTATTGTAGAAGACAAACCAGCAAATACTCACATTTGAGACGCTTAAACATTTGTTTTTTAGTTTTTGTTTTTCTTAAACATTGACTTGAATGCAGAAGTCTCATTACCCTTCTCTGCAGGTTCCTTTTGATGAGGATTAGAAGCAATCTATTCAAAGCTGTGATTCAGTTTTCTGGTTCGTACAAGAAAATCAAGGAGGATCTGGGATGGTCTTTTTTGTAGTTGAAATGTATTTTATTTTGAAACAAAAGCCCTCATTGGCTTTCATGATGAAATCACAGCTCTCCAGCCGTCCCTCTGGATTATTTTTGGTCTCTGGACAGTTTCCACGGCTCTGTCTGTGCTGATAAAGGCCGGCTGGTGTTTATCTATCAGAGCGTCCTTCCAGTCAGAGCCAGCAGGTGGCGCTGTGGCAGTGTTTGTTTCCAGCCTCTCTCTCTCTCTCTCTCTCTCTCTCTCTCCCTCCCTCCCCCCCTCCCTCTGTGTCTCACAGTATTGACTGGCAGATGCAGATGCGAGGCGCTGCTCAGCAGAATATCAATGTTGACTTCACAGGAGGAGCGGTAGATTTGGCGAACCAGCCTCGTGTTCACTATTGAACTGTGTTTTCCCAAAAAGCCCCGCTGCTGCACGGGAGCCAGGGGCCACTCCATGTCAGAATAAGCTTCCTCTCCAAGAAACAGTGATGTTATAACTGAAAATGGGAGCGGAGGGAAATGGGTGGTGGTTTTCACACTTTTCAGACACAGCCTTAAAAAACAAAAAGCAGAGGCGTCTAACCAGTCTAGTCATGTTGTTAACCTCTCCGTAGGGAAATGGAGACTTATGTTCAAACACTCTAAGGTCAGAAATGGTTCACTGATTTGCTCTTTTGTTGACTTTTCACAGCTGGATATTTTATGCAACGAGGAAATCTTGGGAAAGGACCACACTTTGAAATTTGTTGTTGTGACAAGATGGAGATTTAAGGTGAGTTGTGCTTCAGAAAGACGAACATTGTGGCATAACGTGGTGATATGACATCTCAGCTTTGTTGATTTGTAGGCCTAATATGATTGTATTGAAGGTCTAGTGTGTAACATTAGGGAGGATCTGCTGGCAGAAATGAAACATAATATTCATTAGTGTATTAGTGTATAATCTGTGTGTATAGCTACACACGCTTCAGGCTGCCTTCCATCAAAGCTGCCATGTTGAACCGCTATGTTTCTAGCCCAGAAGAGACAAACCTCCTTTTGTGTTTGGAAGGAGAGGGTGAAGCAACAGAGCTGTGATCTGCAGCTACACCACTAGATGTCACTAAATACACACTGGACCTTTAATTCTTGACAAATTAAGACGCTCTTAAAGTCACTCTTAAGTCTGAGTGTATCAAACTGAAATCAGTATAATTCAGTTTTGGCTGATAAAATATTGTTTAAATATCTTAATGATTGAACTAAACTGCATTATTGGTAGGCATCCTCACCTACTGACTGGTTGTCAAACACTGCCCCCTTAGTTACTGTTGCTACGTAGCACCTACTAGCGCAGTGGCCGATTTACCAAATCAACATTTGTGGTCATTTTTGAGACAATTTGGTCCTTCATTTAAATTCTATACATTTATACATTTTAGCTAATGCCTGCTAACGTCGACCGAAGCTCTGATATAGAAGCATCCAGAGTTAGAGCTCCTCTGTAGTGGACGTGGCTAACTTTACAGATTAACACTATGTTTCCTATGTTGTAAGCTAGTTAGCCAGAGATGCTACCGACAGTAACATCGATTCCTTACACTTTTCCACACGTATTTTTACTTTTGGAAGGTTGAATAAAAGACAAGCTTGCGTAGGTACAGTTGATAAGCTAATTGCTGCCAACGCCGTATTAGGGGCTTTAACAGAACCTGCTCATACTGAAGTTATGCTTTTGTTTTTCCCTCCAGAAATCCCCCCTCCTGCTCCATTACAGACCCAAGATGGATCTGCTGTAGCGAAAACGGACACAACGGTTGTTTTTTTGTTTTTGTTGTTTTTTTTGGGGGGGGGGTTTTTGGCCCAGTGGCCGCAGACTGTGCCGAAACCTTTTTATTTATGCAAAGACGATCAACCAACACCAAGCAAACACCCGACGGTCAAAGTCAACACAAGCCAGCAAATCGGGAACTAAAGAGGGCGGGCGGGGAGGGCAAATACAACAAAAACTGGCAACCTCCAGCACAGATACTGCAACACTGGTGTGTTTTTAGGAACTAAAACAACCATTTTTTTGTCCGCTACATCCTAGATATGTGAACAAAAAGAAAAAAAGAACAAAAAAAATGGAGAGAAAGCATATATTTATACTTTTGTACAGAAGAGACACATGGAACCAAGACACTACTGGTGCTCTGTTTACACGCAAACAAGATGTCGGGAATCACGTGACTGTCTTTTTGAGCATCGTGCAGATTTCATCCTCCTGAGACAATGACTGAGAGGAGAGGGGGGCATTTTTTATAACAGGTGTTTTTTCTTTCCTCTTTTCACAATACACTCGACACATCTTGGGAGCACAGAAAGTATATGGAAAAAGTTATATAACAGGCATCAATTTTAAGCTGTTTATCAAGTAAATTGTCTCTGAATCTTTTTTTTTTATTTTCATTTTGTTGGCTTTGTCTAATTTGCTATTGGGTTCTTGATGATTGTCAATTGTGAATAGGCTAAAATGTTTTGTGTAGTAATTTATGTTCTATATACCAATATTGTACATAAAATGTCATTACAGAGAGAGATTGAAGAGAGTAAGAGAGACTTTAGACTGTTAAAAAAAAGAGTGGATCCCAGAAGTGCTATCTATATTTTGGGGGGCGATAAGTGTCCGGAGGCGATAAATTAGGATTTTTAAAAGACAGACTCATTATCAGTATCAAAATATATAAATGCATCTTTATGTTGTCTAAGAAAGACACAAAACAGATATATCAAATCCTCTGCCATTTGTGTGTGTGTGGGGTCTAAGTATGTTACTTTGCTCTCATAGCATTACTTTAGGGCAGATAAGAAGAAAGCTTCAACCACCCCCTCCCAACTCCATGCTCCTCGTCTGACCTGGAATACAGCTATCCTTGTCTTTTTTTTTTTTGGACGTCATTATCAACCAATTCTGTCTTAACAATAATGCTACACAAAAACACTCATGTTCAGAAATGCCTGCAGGACATAACAATGCAATATTTGGGCAGAGAACTTGTTCATTTGTATTGATTTTAATCTTGTTTTCACACCATGCAGTCCTTAATATCCATCCTTGTGTTTCTGCAGCAGCACCAGGCAGGCAAATACTGATACACCCACATGTTTACAGCTCTTGGGTCGCGCTGCTAGCAGCAGATGTTGCTGGCACTATTATACACATTGCATTTCAGTTTGCTCACATTTCAGTGGAAAACTCAGAGCTGTAATAGACATGATTTTTGCAACACACCAGTCTCACTTGTCTTAACAGCGGGGATGCAACAGAGTAGAGTACCTTATCCTGAATCTCTCATTTAAGAGCAAAATATAAAGCGTCTGGTAGATTGTAAGCTTTCTCTTCAGAGCAGGACTTCGTCAGTAAGAACCACCACAGGCAGGCCGGTTTGATGAGCATGAGTACAGATTACTGACGTCACATTGTTGTGTTTGTGGGGTATTTTTCAGTTTCTTCTCACTGCCAGTTGGAGTTGCAAATGTGCAGAGCTGCACAGTGTTTAAGAGAGTCAATTTAAGAACATTTCTGAAAGTCGAGTGAATATTGCTTTTTTCACAAAATCTGTATAAAACTTGGAATTTTTTGCAGGATAGCTAGTGTTCAATATTGTTGACTTCACAAGACACAAATTTTTGAGAAATAACTCTTAAATTCAGGTTTTCTCACAGGCTTTTTGAACATTTTGATAATGTAATTCTGGATAAAATGACTACTGATTGGTCATTTGGTGCTTACAAATGTGTGTTTTAATCTTGAGGAGGATTGTTCCTCAGGAACATGCTGTTCTTACTGTAACTGTGTGACACAGCAAACCAATGTTCTGTTTAACAAAGAAATGTCTTAACTCGCAACATTCAAAGCTAAACTGTCTTTAACCTTCCCACAACTGGACCCCTAAACGCCGTGTCAGACCTCAAGTAGTATTACCTCACTGACCTGTCTCATCAGTAATTAAAGGACAGTTATTTACCCTTTGCATTGTACCTGCCCACAACAAGCTGTTTTGTCTGTATGTTCACATGCAGGGTTCCTATCCATCGGTAGGTTCCACCAGTCTGAAAGCTCTGAAAACACAAACTCTGGTCCATCTATGATATACACATATGTTGGAACTGCTCTGATCATTCCCAGTATTGTGGAAAGTGCAGTTTTGGATAGTCTCGAGGCAAAGTCAGTTAGTTCATCTATTGTAATCGATAGATACACAATGCTGGATCATAGATGTTGATCATTTGGGATTTGGAAATGGAAAAATGTATAGGAACCCTGCCACATAAGGACCTATGACTTGTGTATTAAACGTTTTTATAGCCTACAGGTCTGTACCTAACCAGCTCAACCAAAACTCCTCCTGCAGTCTTTAATGTCACTTCTCATAGTGACTTTTATGTTTCAAGGACCTTCATCCAGTCACATATGTAAATTGTTCATTGTTTTTGGTTTTTAGTTTTCGTACCAATTCTCCTACCTAATATCCTAACAGACTGTATGGGTTTTAATAAAAGGTTAAAAGGCAGATGGCCTCCTGTTTGCCTGGAGCCAGTACGCGATTGGTTCGACCTGCACCAGGTGCTTGGACCCTGGTGTACCTGTTTCAAGGCTGGGTGAAAATCTGGTTATTAAATTATAAACCGGCAAAAACATAATGCATTTTTTTTGCCATTTATTTTTCAGTTACTACTCCCCATTTCTCTCTTCCCTTAACATTCTGTAAACACTCATTGTAAACTCTTGCTACAACTTTTTGATGAAACAAAACAGATTCAGATTAAAATGATTTAAAAACCAAAAACAATGAGCCTTACCAGCTTGTCAGCTCATGAAAGAGTACTGTGTTAGAAAATCCCCACAGGAATCATGTAATAATTGTCTCCATTATCTCTGCAAGTGCAGACTTGGTGTGTTAAAGGCGTATACACAGGCTGTTTTATAGAAATGAGGCTCATGTCAAGTAATTCTCCAGTGTTCAGAGACATCAGTGATCTGGTTTGCATGTTGATGTTGGGAAATCCTGTTAAACACCTGGGATGGCGGATACCATGTTCCATGTTATTTTGTAACTTCTGTAAAGTCTCTGCTCCTCACGTCACCCAGAGTCGTCGTCATGTTCAAAGTGTTGCCACCTCCTGCTTCTCCTGTAAGAATTCAGTCTGTTTATGATAAATGTGCATAAGCTTTTTCCTCAGGTGATAAAGCTGTAACCCCCACCACGAAGGTGCTACTGTAATGGTGACTACAAACAGAAATAGTTTTTATCAACACACTCATTTCTGTATATGCAGAACACTGCGTACACTGCTCTGTACTGTTTAGAAGGACTGGCATTGAAACAAAGGTTTCATCTGTTCATTTTTGTAAACTTTTTTTTGTTTGATGTGGTTGCGTTCACACTGCAGCTTTGTGCTACTGTTTCCCCCTCACATCAGATGAAAACATTTTGTCTTGACCACGTTTATCTTTAGTACAGTATCACAGGAGGGGTCTCACACGTTCGAAGGAACAGATCCACACGTAACAGCTAGTGTTTTACTCGCTCTGAACGCAACTCGAAGCAAATTTTACACCTCAGTTTTATGCGCACAACTACAGTGATGGTGTAATAGGTCCCAGGTGCTACACAATGCGGGCGACCTACACTCAGTTCTGGGCCTGAATGCATCCTATGTAGAGCACTGAAGCTGCTTCCGCTCTGTAGATGGACTACTTTCACAGCGCTGGCTGTGTAGACACAAGGCTTGCGAGTTCATTGACCGTTGTAATCTCAAACCGTCACCTATGGAAACTGTCTCGATTTGTCATAACAGTGTCACCATGTAGGACAAAAACACAACACAGTGGAAATGAGACCAAACAGAATCTCATGTGCAAGGTCTAAAACTAGTAACTGATGACAGCATGAATGTTTTACCTACATGGTGATGTTCTGTGGAACTGTTGTCTATTTTACAGCTTGCAGGTTCCTGTGTTCTTGTTAAATCACACAATAGACAAATATACACAAAAATCTAATGTGTGGATTTCAACATAAAAGGCTGCAGTGTGAACAAAGCCTTTCACTTTGTCCCTGTGTACTGAGTATTGTTCCAAGAGCCCTGTGATCTATGTGACGGATGGGGAACCTGATGGAACTGTTGGGGTCTTTGCCACAGTGATGGTCAGAGATGCTCTGTCTCCGCTGTGCTCTCTATGGTGCTAACAACTCCTTGTTTCAAACTTCAGACGTTTTCAAGAAAGATTCAGTCAGAGACAGAAAAGCACTGTGCTGCGAAGTTCTCCTGTCGGCCTGTTTCCCCAAACGACCTTGCACTGTACGTGTACGTGCTCGAGTCCTCTGGTTGTCTACTCTTGTCGGAGCTGTCTCGCTGTGCAGATAAAGAAGGTGCTGGCTTTTTCTGTTTCTTTTTCATTGGTTTGTTGGCTGGGCTTGCTCTGGAAAGCAAATTTAAATAAATCATAGACTGTGACGGGGCTGATGCTGTGAAAAATAAAAGAAAACTGGTGAGAAATTGGGTGTGCCAGCTGCAATTTCCTGCCTCAAAGAGAAACTCACACTTATTATAGGCTTCTCTGGTGAGATGTGTGGGCCTCCATCTCTAACAGTGTATGACTTACAGTTGATTTTTGTTTTAGTATTCCCAAAGTTCTCTCAAGCTCTAGGGAGTTTGACCTTCTGTGTGTGTGTGTGTGTGTGTGTGTGTGTGTGTGTGTGTGTGTGTGTGTGTGTGTGTGTGTGTGTGTGTGTGTGTGTGTGTGTGTGTGTGTGTGTGTGTGTGTGTGTGTGTGTGTGTGTGTGTGTGTGTGTGTGTGTGTGTTGCATCTGCCACCTCCTCTGCACCAGAATGGATCGATGTTCATGCTTTTTATCGGCACCAACATTGAGACATCAGTGCCGCTATGCTTGACAGGCGAGCTAAGAGGCTTACAGGAGGCTCGACTCTGCCTGGCTGCAGATAGGGCTCCGTATCGGTTCCAAAAGGTCTCCGGCATGGAGGGGAGGCCCGTGATCTGTCAGAGCTACAGCTCTCGGGCTCATCTTCTCGGCTTCAACCTTGAACGCCTGTCAGGCTGCTTGTTAACTCCCGCTAGGATCTGTGGGTGAGAGGGGGTGGGGGATTTCCATTCGGGGTGGTTTCACAGCTTCACGTGGACTCTGCTTACCAGTACCTACCACCATGATGTGAAGACGAATAAACAATTTATTCGGGCTGCTTTGTATGCCCTTTCTGAGCTCGTCTCAGAAGCTCTACATTCATTTCTAGCTTATTGGCAGCAGAATCATTCCTGGCAACTTAAAATATCTCTTCTTTGTTCACTCCACTGTACTAAGTGTCCACTCCGGGAGTGTGATAGCTTTCTTTGTTGCCCAGCTCACTGTTTCTCCCTCATTTCTGAGTCCTCTCTAAAACTCAGTAATCTCACAGGCAGGCTTTGTGTGTGACAGCGAGGGAGACCTCAAGGGTCACTCAGATGACTGCACGGACACACTCCAAAAAAAATAATATATATATATATATATATATATATATATATATATATTGTCTGGCCGGAGTGGCCATGCACTGCTGCAGTTGCTGCCTGCTCTAAAAGGCTGCTCCACTCTGAAAAGCGCCACGCTCAAGTGCACTGAATCACGTCGCCATGGGTGGTGCGGTTTGAAAAGCAAAAGACTGGTTAAATTATGGATTGTTTTACCACTTCAGGGTCGTGGCTGTTGCTTTTGGAGATTGTTCACTGGTGGCGGGATCAGCAAAGTCCTCTTTTCAAAGACGCAGTAGTTGAAAAAGACTCCCCTTGACGTTTATGTATGAGTGTCAGATTGAGACTGCTGGTTTCAGTAATTCCCAAATAAAGTGGGAAATCGGTCCACAGCTATCAACCTCACAGTGGCATGCCCCCATGAGCCATAGCAGATGTCATCAATAAATCTGTCCAGTTTTTTTTTATTATTTATTTATGCTGAAAAAGTGACTTCTGCAGTAGTTTCTTGGTTATTGAATTTTTTGAGAAGAGATTTGCTCTCCTTTTTTTGCTCACAAATTTTGTATTTCTCTTTTTTTGTGAAACCTATATTGAACTCATGCATAAAATGGCTTAAATTATGAATTTTGCAATTGAATTCCCCTTTTTTGTATTATTCCAAGTGAGTTAATGTCTACGCAATGCTCTGTCTGTGTATAACAAACACATAGGTGTCTTCTTTTTTAGGTCAAGCAAAAAAAACAACAAAAAAACAAGAGAAGTAAATTGTGTGAATCTGGCAATGTGGTTATTGTATTTGCAAGGAAAATGTGCAATATACGGTTCTCAGATGGTTCCAGGTTTCAGCATAGAACTCCAATATTTAATTTTTAAACTGTTTTTTCTTTTTTCCAGTCAGTTCCTCAGGTCACTAAATGCCTTCTGGTCCTGAGGGTGACCAGGAAATCTCAGAACATACACTAATGCACCCGAAATACAAAACGACTGGATTATATTTTAGTCTTGTCTCTCTCTCTTTTCTTTCCTCCCCGTTTTTGTCTGTGACAGTTTTCTCAGACTTTGGTTGTTTTGTTTTGTTTTGTTTTCAGGTTAACACAGGCACTTGTTCAGGTGTCCTTTTCCTTGCCTCCTTTTGTATTATTGTTATTTATTGCACATGTAATGAACTGGTTTCCATTGCCACATTAAATTCAAGGAGTTTTGGGTCTAGAATGGGGCTGGAATTTCTTACGTACAAAACTACAGAAGCTTTTGTCAAAACCTAAGTGTGTATTTCATCAATAAATGCCTTTTAAAAGTGCTCCTGTGCTGTGGTGACTCATTTGTTAAACCCAACTGTCAGTGTGGCACATGTCCGCAACCCTGATGGTGCCTTTCAAAGCTCCATTAATCAACATTATGTATGTACTAATCAATCAGATAAACCATGTGCACTGGTACCAGAATAGGGGAGACAACAAGACTTTTTGTCCCCCCCACTTTCAGGTGTAACCTCTTCAACTCTGTGCCGACAAACGTCTGTGGCTAGAATTACTGTCTTACAGAGGCGGTAGGCTCAGTCTTAAAGCTAGAGTTAATATACTATACTATATAAAACTATTAGACCTACCATGTCATGCTTGCTTGTCGGGAAGGGTTAAATAACACTCGAAAGTTAGGCTAAATTTGGTGATGAAAAAACTGGCATGGCTATTGTCAAAGGAGTCCCTTGACCTCTGACCTCAAGATATCTGAATGAAAATGGTTTCTATGTGTATCCATGAGTGTCTTCTTTACCGACATGCTCACTTTATGCTAATCCCATACAGTTTTTTGTATGTAGTATAAATGTTATTTTTTCTTAGTATACTTGAATATTTCTACATACTGTGGATTTTAAACAAACTGGCAGTTTTCCTTACGATACTGATCACCACGTTAGTTTTTTAGTGAGGAGTGACCATATTATAAGAACTAATACATTAATACCTTAACACATCATGAATTGCAGTTTAATTCCAGTGATGAAAATCCTAAAAATGAAAAGTTGAGATCGATTGATGTTTACATTGGTGTTAATAGCTGATTGCAGTTGTTGCTGATTGTTGGTGTTATGGTTAGATTTACTGTCAGATAGAAAAGCTTGAGAGGGCAGTCTCTCAATAGAAAGATGTATGGTAATATAAACGCAGTTTTGGAGATATTCTAAAAGTCTTTCTGAAAGGGTTGGTTGCTGCAGTCTGCAAAAGCACCATCATCCTGAATGAGGACTTAAACCTGATCTGCAGAGATCTCTTACGTTCACATTTGTTGGAGTAGTTAAGGTCACGTTGGTCAAGAAATTGGAAAAAAGAATTGCAGTATCCTGTGAAGATGTGCAATAGTGCTGTTTGTCTGTGGCTTGTGGTGCCCTCTTGTGCAGTTTGGTAATTTATATAGTGTGGCAGACAAAGATGAGTGGGCTAGAAAAGGTGTGTTCTTGTAGGAACATGTTATTTTTTCCTATTAATCATCGATCAATCATGTTTCCCTTATCTACTGCATGGTGAAACCCCAAAGTTAGAAAAGTCCAATCCAAGTGGGCACAGAGTTCCCTTTTTGATGGTGATTACTTTGTCACTTATCTATACACTAGTTATATCTCATTGAAAATAACATGTTTTTCTTATTAATACATTTGTGTAAATGGTATTGGACACTGCTTATACTGTACTGCAGATTGTTAAAAGTGATGAAGTGAGCATAATGGGAGATGTCAGAGGTTTTGTTTCATTTTTTAAGAGAAAATAATTGGTATTTCTTTTCTTTCAATATGAAGACAAATGTATCTGTTATTTATTCTGTCTATAGCTGGGGCAGCAGTTTATTGTTGAATTCTTTCATTTCCATCAACCGTTTCTAATGCAATACTTACAGAATGCTAGTAAAAATGTGTAAATGTGTTGATGGAAACATGGCTACAGTTAGCAACTACAGCTGGTAAACATCGTGGAGCATTTAGCAGCTAAAGAGTCAGATATTTTTTCTCAGGAGCTGAAAGCCAAACCACAGCTCAGTGAGAGTGAATGTTGCTCTATATCTTGTGGATGTGTAAATAAGCTACATTTTATCCAAAGCAACCTCAGAAGGAGATATGTCAGGTCAGTGGGTCTGTCAGACTGCGGTTCCACAGCAGTCAAATATAAACTTGTCATTTTGAAACTGAAAAGATGCAGAAGTCAACATATAGTGGGTGAGAGTGGACACAGTTTGGACCTCCTGCAGAGCAGCTGTGAGGGAGAGCAGAGCTATCCGTCTGCCAAGTTAGTCACACTGAGCACACAGCAGCAGAAAACTCCTCAGATTTTTGTGGCATGGACAATGCAGAAGATGCTGTGTGTATCAGTCAAAGGACCATTTGTCACCAACAACTGCCTCACAGCATTGTGGCAGATGTCAAATGTCAGGCAGTCAGTGTCAGGGCCTCAAGTTTCCATCTGCTCACACTGCAGCTCGATTTGATTTGATTTTTCTGACAAATATATAAAACAGTTCATATAGCTGCAGATACATGTAGTATAATCCAAACGAGACAATCAGTAAAAAGATTACCTATTTCTATAAATGTTCTTAATGCCTGCCACCGGGTCAGATTTGGTCGCATTACTCTTGAAATCAATTAAACACTGCATTAGAAACACTATCACTTTTGTCCATAGGAAACAACCCAAAATTCCTTGTTACTGCTTTAAAGGTTTTATATATACGAACCTCCACTTGCTACTGGATGTCACATGCAGAGCACCAGCTACTGAAGTAGGTGCAAAAAATATTTGTCAAAAGGGTTGCAATGACTGCAGTGTAAACTAACATTATTCCTTGGGGACAAAAGCGGCCATCAAAGTATGTCCACTAAAAGGGCTTGTTCTTGCCAGGCTCAGATTGTTATTCTAAGGGTCTGAACATAATAGAACAGAGATAGACCTTTTGTCAGACAAAAGCACTCATTTTAGCTCACATATCATCATAATTTCATAACTTCATTCTTAGTAGGGGTGTAAGACATTTTTTTTAAATATCATATCGCAATATTTTGTTTTGTGATATTGTACTGATTCTCAAAAACACTATTTTTTTCTGTTTAAACCTTTATCTTTATATATAGCTAATAGTTGTTTACAAGAACACAAAAGAAAGTTTCTGTAAAGTAACTAGAGTAAATGTAATTCCATTCTTCTACCCCTGTGAACAACGAAGACTTCACTCCTTTTTTTCCTTTGACATCTGATGCACTTGAAGCTGTAGGGAATCCTGCCAATCTGTTACTCCAAACAGATTAAAATAATTGATTATTTTTCAAACACAATTTCACACATAACCGGTTTCGAGCGTGACAGTTGTGGCTTCACAGCTCGTATTAGCTTTTGGTATTTGGAGCTGAAGCTGATAGAGAGCTCTGCATTGCTATTAGTTGGGGGAAACCAAATGAGGTTTTGAATGTATAGGGGATGGACACGGCTTCATAAAAGCTTGTGCAATACTCAGCAAAGCTTAGAATGTTCAGTTTTTGTTGAGACTGTCTGAAGCAGCAGTATTCTTTACTGTGATTATATGCATGAAACATAAATGGACAGCTTTAATCACCCCCACTGTGCCACTGATACTTGATTATTGGTTTGAAATGACAAATATATGACTTCATTTTGTATCAATGGCCCCCCTGTGGTGCAGTGACGGAGTCAAGGCTTTATTCGCTGCTCGCAGTTTGAGGAATTACTCTCAGAAGACAACAGGATGCGATGAGTTGTTTGTTTTCTCAGGACCATTAGATGGCAGCTATTTCAGTCAGTATCTGTGGGCGGAGTGCTCAGATGTGTGAAATGAGAAGAGGAAAACCATATTATTGACTCATTAACCAAGCCGTGGTGCGGAGGCTGCAGATCTTTCTTTTATTTTCCCTCACTGGTGCTTCAGCACATTGCGCTGTTATTACACCAGCAGGGGCATCGGGTGTCACATTCAGGGCAGTTAATCAGGATGAGAGTGTTTCGGTGATGTAATGCTGTGGTTTACAATCTTTTTACGTTGTGACTGCATAAAAACAAATCAATGGCTAGCAGACTCTTCGTAATAGGTTCATAATAGGTGCCAAAACTTCTGCACTTTTACCTGAATAACATTTTCTCTTGCAATACAGTACTTTTGTACTTTGGAGGTATTTAACGAAAAAGATCTGGATACCTCTTCCACCACTGCACCAGTTATAGTTTTCTCTTGGGAGAGTGCTAAAGTTGCCTTGCTCAGCTTTAAAACTATACACTTTTTAGGGAGATCCTAATTGCTATGTCCTTAAAACAGCCCCTTCCACATCATCTGCACATGCTGACAGCTGTGGGGTTCCAGCAGATCAGGGAAGTCTGAGCCAGCACCGTGGATGAACATGAGTTCCCCTCGTACTGGGTGACCCGCTGGATGCGGTTCGATGCTTGAAGGATGTAAGTGCAGGGATCGGCAAGTGTCACCAGGTTATCCTTCAGTGCTCCAGCGCCCAATTCTCTTGATGTGTCTAGACAGCCATGGGTGGAATGACAGCGAGAGCAGCCCTGTGCTGCGTGATATCCTCAGTGCTGCTGGGTTTGACAGCAGCCTCCCCGTCCGTCTCCCCTCTCGCCTCGACTGAAAAATCAAAGCCTGCTATCTACGGTTAGCATGGTTGGTGTAAATCAGTTTAGTACTTAACCTTGTCAGTGTGTCAGCTCTGTGAAAGACTGGACCTCAGAGTTTGGTCAGTAACATTAAATCACAATTAGTTTGAACATTGCTGTGAATATGTGGCTGTCTCAAATTGCATTCAGCCACAAAATGTAACCTTTAGAGACAATTTCTCCTCAGGGATGAAAAAACCTTGCAGAAGTTTTACACTTCTAGCTATCTATAAATTCATTTTTTTCTTATTTATTTCTTTTCATTTACTTTCAATTCTTTCCCTTTATGGGTTTGGCAATATTGTTGCTTCAGGTTATTACTGCTCTGTGTGATACAGGGTGAGGCCAGTGGAGTAAGGAAAGGTCAATAATTCATCAAAGGTGGCAACACAAAAAACATCTTTCAGCTCCAGAGGGAAACACTTATGGAGGCCACAGAACAAAACTAAATCTTTTGAGGTATTTTATATTTGTGTACTGTAATATTATTTATTGTCTTGAGGTTCTACTAATTCCAACTTTGAAAATCAAAGAATTGATTCATAACCACATATGTTTCTCATAATTAGAAGACAACATGCAATGTTCATTCAACATTTCAACTGATGCAGATTTACCAATTGAAAACCATTCTTTT